AGAGAAAAGCAGCAATACCTAAAGGCTTCGAGCCCCGAAGGATCACACCCAAATGCTTTCAAGCAGTCCTTTTGAAGCACAGCAACCGTACACCTACCAAAGTGCTGATCAACCAGCAGCATCCCTTCAAGCACTCCACAGAGACCTCTAGGCCCTTCGGAAGCTAAGCACCCCACAGAGAAGCAGCATTGTACCCGAATGCCTTTCAAAGCAGGTCCTTCTGAAGCGCAGCAACCCCGCTACACCTGCCAAAGTGCTGATCAACCAGCGGCAGTCTTCAAGCAGCCCTAAACACCCCAGCAGCATTGTACCCAAGTGCCTTTTCATTCAGGCCCTTTGAAACTGAAAGGTAGCAATTTCCATGCAGCAGCTACGACCCTAAAGCTCACCTGTGCTCTTCCGGCCCCTTGTAGTGCTGCGCTCTCTTACCGCTGCGCCCCCCTGCTTGCAGCGCTGCGCTCCCCTGCTTGCAGCGCCCTTCTTGTGCTGTCCTTCTGCGCTCTTGCTGTGCGCCCTGGGTGCTGCGGCTTCTGAATTGCTTCTGGGAATGCCGCCTTGTCCCTAAGTCTAGCCTGTTGTACCTCCCTAACAAGTGCCAGCCTCCTCCGCTCCATTCGGGCAAGTGGCGGCCCGGAAAACGACGCCAATGCCTGAGGTGGCAGGGTCCCATGTCCCTAAGTCTAGTCCGGGCCATTGTTGACAGCGCCATTGTTCCTAAGTAGAGAAACTGGGTGGAATGTTGCTTCGATCTTGTCCCTAAGCCTCTCACCCCCCTGCCAGACCACCCAAAATGGTCAAGATCCCGCCCTTTTCGGGCCTCGGTACTTAGGGCCCACGTCCCTAAGCTACTTTCAAGTTCTCGACTCGATCGCCGGCCTCCTCATGGGGGGGCAGCAGAACCGCGGCCACGATTGCCTGCGCGATCCTCCGAACTCCGGCCGCGGGGAAACTGTGAAGGTGGCGTCCCGCACACTCTCGGTCGAGGACGCCACGCTCTACATTCTAGACGCCTATGCCCAGCATGCTCTGCGGGTGCAGGAGTCGCCAGCGGCGGGTGACGGCAGCCCGGGGAATGGCGGTGCGGCTGGAGGCAGTACTCGCCGCACCCCGGTAGATGGCGAAGCAGCGGGAGGCGCACTGCCCACTTGTTGGACCGACCAATTGGCGCAGTGGGAAAGCGAGGGGGTGGAGGAAAGGGAGCGGCATGAGCGGATGGCGGAAACGGTCCCCCGCTGCCTTCGTGGCCTGCCCGTGTTTGTGATGCGGAATGGTGGTCACTATTTGGCGACGACGCACTTGAAGTACGTGCTTGGGCTCGAGAAGAAGCCGTACGAACTGTTTCGCATCCTGCGCGAGGTGAACCGGACCAGTTGGCAGCCGCACGAGGAAGGGGGGGACGGCGTGGACATCAATGAGTTCCACGAAAAGTTAGGCGCGAAGTTTTTGACGGCAGGCGTGGGGGTTGACCACGAAAGGGATGCTGGGGAGACGCTTGAGGAAGCATCGGAAAAGCGGGAGAGGGCGTCGGCGGAGTCAATGGCCTGGAGAAGGATTTACGGGGCGGCGGACTAGCGTGCAAACGAGCCGGAGAACCGGCCGCTTCGAAGCAACGAACTGGCCCCGGGCAAGGCAATGGTGGAAGCCCTCTCTGCATTGGCGGCTTCGCCCGAGCAGCTCGCTCAATCCGTGATCAGGTCGGCGGTGTCCCGTGGTGTTGACGCCCTGGAGGCCACGTGGCGGGCCTATGACCAATTGGCCGCAGTCTCGGACGGGGTATCAGCCGATCGGTTCCGGGCATGTGCTGTCCGGTTTTTGGGCGAGCAGCTGAGTGCCCCGGTTGGGGGGGAGCCGCCGGAAGAGCACTTTAAGGAGATGGATCGGCGGCTGGCGGCAGCAAAGTTTCAGAGGAGTGTCGGACCGGCCGGGGTGGCATGGGGTGGGAAAAAGCCTAGCAAGCCTCGCAATCCTCGCGGAGAAGAGTGCGAGCGGAAGCGAGTGGTTCCGGAACGGGTGGCGCCGGCGAGGCCCACTTTGGAAGAGGTCGAAGCGACTTTGTGGGATGGGGTGGATGAGTCGAAGTTGGATGCGGTGGAGGGCGAGCACGTGGATAAGCCCGACCCCAAGGAGGAGGGGGATGTGTGCACCCCGGGTGTGGAGTGGGAGCAATGGTACTTGGACCGCGAAGGGTTTGTGCCTAACGCTCCCGTTCCCATCAGGAGGTTGGGAGAGATCAGCCGCTTCTGGTACGAGTTTGGCGTCCCGGACCAAGTCGTGGTCATGCAGCACAACTACGACAACCGCTTGGAGCGGAGGTACGAGGGGCGCCACAACTTGTGGACCTTCAAAGTGCTGTCCAACATCATGCCCATGAGCCGCTTCCTCAAATCCGCCCCATCTGCCGAAACCTTTGTCGCTGCCGACCTGGCCCGGGAGGCGCTGTCCGATCTGGGTGCACAGTCGAAGCTTGGCCGATCCGTCGCAATCGCCGCGCTGGCGCACTCGGCTGGCGTGCCGGTGGAGAAGGACATCTTGCACGGGAGCGCATTGGACTTGCTCAAGCTGGCTAGGGTTCGGGTTCGGGCCTCAAGGAAGGCAAAGGAAGCGACTGGCGGAGGGGAGGTAGAGGGGGGGGCGAAGGGCGAGGGAGCACCTCCGACTCTGGATGAGGTGTTCGGTCACAGCGTCGTCACGATTGGGCGGAGTGCGGCGGCCAGCGTCACGGAGTCGGCCGTCCAGGTAGAGAAGGAGCGCTGGAAGAGTGGCTCCTCGGACTGGGGGAGGGGGGCTAGCGAGTAGGGGTGGTTGTAGATCAGTTTAGACGCGGTTCGTCCGTCCGGAATGGTAGCGGGCCGCGGTTAGTTGTAAATAGTAGGCCGGTCGCGCTTGACTTCCTAAACTTGTGAATAATGGAGGTCCGTCGGAGTTCGAACGCCGGTTCAAAGATTGACCGTTTGCATGGCGCAGCGTTTCCGATAAGTATCAATTTGCACATATGTTCGGAATTCATGCGCTGGATGGTGGAAATGGCTCATTTGCAGCACGCGGTAATGGATCCGGCCCGGGGACTCTTTGAATGCATTATTACACAGCAGTCGAGTGTACGAATGTCTTCATCCGACCTGAACTTCTTTTGCAAATTGTCATGTGCTACCTGTAATACTTGTTCCGAAACCATAGTTCCATGTTTCTGTTCTGCGCTTTCTTCGGGAGCATCATTTCTACCGATATGAGCGACTCTATCGGCTCCACGACGACGCTCGGCTCCCTGCGGGAAGTTGCTTCCCACTGTAGAATGTCGCACTTCACATCGTCCGTCCAGGCCGTGACCCTGAACCACCTAAGGAACACGAGCTCATGCTCCACAGGCTTCCACACCTGCTTCAGCTCAACCTCATCCCACTTCAACACTTTGTGCCAAGCTTTGAAGAACAACACAACTCGAGCGTACCAGGTCTCCCTAGCCCCCGTTCTGCTGTTCTCCCCCGTCACAGCCACGTCGCTAAAAACCGGGCGGCCGTGAAAGCTGGGGATAGCTCTCGCCGCTTGCAACCTTCTGCGGCCGCCCGCGTGTGGAACAATGTAGCACGAAGAGACGACGTGCACCTGCAAATGCAGAATCACAAACGCTATTATACCGGTACCAATAACCTGATAAGAAGTCATTAAGTCATTGGCTGAGCCTGAGTCTCTTGCTTGACAGCTTGCTTGAAGAAAGTGTCGATTGCAGGTTTACTCACCCGAGGATCGATGTTATTCTCGCGGAGGTAGCGTATGGGGTTCAATCGGCGGAGGGCGGCGCCCGACACGTTGCCGACGTGTACGCCGAAGTAGGTGCCCAGCGCGGCGGGGAGTTTGGACAAGAGGGGTTGGGACCGCAGCAGTTGCATGAAGGCACCTCGTTGGACGTGCCCTGTTGGAAGGAAGGCAGAAAGTTGTCAAAAGAGCGCTCATCAATCGGGTCTTTGATGATAAGAGCGGTTGAAGCACCTCAAACGTTAGATAAAAGAGAGTCGGCGCAAGTCAAAAGAAACTCAAACTTAGTCGGAGTATCTCACCGTCGAAGATCATCTTCTGAGGCGAAGTCACGTCCACCAGCATGTTAGACCACAGCGTTGCGAAGCGGTAACTCAGCGGAAGCTTGTTCTCTTTCGCCTTGTCGGCCATGACCAACGCGCTGTCGTACTTGCCCCTCTGCCGGACGACCTCCGTGATTTGCGCTCGTAGAGTCTCGATGTTGTCGAGGGCAATCGCACGAAGCCACCTGGAAACATTGAGTGGCGACATGTCCACCGCAAGGTTTACGATGGCAAATGGCATTGCAACAACTTTGAGGTAATCTTTCACTGTGAGTTGCATCAAAAGGCTCGACCAGCTCTCACGGATGCCCACAAAAGCAAGAGATGCATTGAGATTTGGCTCTCTTCACTTACGAGTCAAACATCGCCTCCTCCACATTGCGCCCGTTCATGCTGGCCCACCAGATCTTCACCCTGTGGGTGCTCGTGCTCTCCCCTCTCCGTGGACGTCCACCGGGTGGCACCGAGCCGCCTGATAGTGGCGGTGAACTTGGAGAGGTCGTGATACTTGCGGAAATTCCAAGCCGATGCCTGTAGCCCCGCGATCGCGGTGCACTTCTCGTCAAAGACGAGGAGCAACCGGTCGGACTCGCTCAGGGTATTCTCATTGTGGATGCCGTTTTCGAGCCAGAAGGTCGCTTAAACCCACTCAACAAAAGCCACTGCCCACTCCACGAGGGTGTCGACTCCATTCTGCGTCCGGAAAAGGCCGGACACCAGGATTGGCAGCACCTGTAGCGGCAGCAGGCTAGGATTATTTGCCTGATTGACACCAACAAACTCTGACCAAATGCTTTTGGGCAGAATGTTGATAGCTGGGATTGGAGGGCGGCATGCAGAGGATTGGTCGCCCACTCGTTGACCACGAAGATTTTGCAAACACAGAACTTTGATGCAAACAAACGTACCTGCATGACGGCCTTCCATTCGTAGTTGGGCACGGAGTAGCGCTCGGTGAAAAACTCCTTGCTCGCTGGGAGCCGCAGCCCTGGGTTGTAGAGGAGGTAAATTTGATGGAGGCGCACGTTCATGAGGGCCAGGAAGGCGGCCTTGCCAAGCGGGTGTATGTTGGCGACCGCCTCCAAGATGTTGAGGAAGTGGGACCCCAACACACCCCCGTACACAGTGTGCAGATCGTCTGGGACCATCTTGAGGTAAGGAGCATTCCAGGCAAGCTTGCCGTACTTCCACTTGAAAAACCATGGCTGCACAGGCAGAACATGCGTGATTAGGATTTTTGAGGAAGCGCGACTCAAAGATGCTGTTGTCCAACTTCAATACAATGATTATGGACAACAGTTGCTTTTGTCTGTGCAATCTCGATCGCTTTTGCGCTCCCACCAGGAAACAGTACAGGAAGGCGCACACCTTCTGATTAAGTCGCTTTGAAACACTGGATTGGAGCTTGGCCGCTGGCAAAGGGCTGAAAGATCAGTAGCGCGCCATCTCCAATTATGAAGCCATATAGGGGCTTCATTGGATTCTGGGCGGCATTCGCGAGCAAAGGGAATAGGAAGCACTCACCATTTGCGGGTGCACCCCGTGCTTCCTTGTCTCCTCCGTAACCCGGACCCTGGGCACGTGTGGGTCTTCTTTGAGGTCGAGGATGGCGTTAACGGCCACCCGCATCGCCGGTTCCAGTCGCGGGGGGTAATCTCCCCTGAGGGCTTCGTCGAGTCGGTTCATCTCATCTGGGGGGACGAGGCAGGAGTCGCAGTAGTTGACCTTTACGTTCGAGATGGTGGATGCCTCCCCGAGGTCTTTGCTGATGCAGAATATCTGCGGGACTCCCTTCCGCTTGACCCCATGTGGGTCCACGAAGTCGATACCCTTCCACGACGCTTTCCGGGCGTCCTCCGTGACGATCGCCAATGAACTGGTGATGAAGTGGCGCTTCAGGTCGCGGTGTCCGTCCGACTTGGGCTTGTAGTTAGGTTGCGGCCAGTCGGGATCCGCCTTGGGCTGTGGGAGCAAGGCATCGAGCTCCAAACCGCCTCTCTCGTTGTAGAAGTCCCAGCTGAAATTGGCGAGAGAGACGTACATGGGGAACACAGACACGCGACGGAGGCCGTCCATGGTGGTCTTGTCCAGGTAGATAATGATAGGTAGCACCACATAATCCGAGCCTTGGAAGTCGGGATCAACGTCGATCTGCAGGTAGTCATTGACGGACTGGTTTAGCTTCACATCTAGGGTGTCGGTTGGACACTCTGGGAAACGTGTTGTTCAACAAGCTAGGGAAAGCGACAATTTGCAGCCGGCCACAACTTCAACTATTGTCGGCGTTGACTAGGCGGCCATTGTTATTGCAAGAAGAAAGCTGCTTGAAGCTTGCTTAGATTCTTGCGGCTCACCTCTCTCTGCATCTTATGCCACCATGTGCCCGTAGACGGGTGGTCATATTCTGCGATGAGGACCTCCTTCATCGTACCATCCCTCTGCTTTTGCATCACCTTTACGTTTTGGATGACCGGCTTGAGCACAAACTTGCCCTCTCTCCCATTCTTCTTCGCCACCGCCTTGGCATTGGCCGCCATCTTCTTGACAACCTCGAGAAGAGGCTTGTACGTAAGCAGCACAGGCCCAGGATCCAAGCCTGGTCGCGACAGGTCGATCATCCTCGCGTTCTAAGAGAGAGGGAACATGAAGAGATGGCGGCCACTTAAGAATTTCCAAACTTAAACTACTCAAGGTTGACAATCAAAGAACACAGCGAACTAGCCAGACTTCAGTTTTTAGAGCAGAGGCTTTATACTTGGAATTAGAGCAAAGCTACCATATCTTGTGAACAAGTAAGTCTAGTTGCTTGTTCACTCTCTCCCTGCCCTGGGTAAGCTCATATCAAACCAGTCAATGAAGAAAGGCTCAGGGCCTGCAAATCTTACCTCTCCTACAATCTGTTGCATCAAGTACTTGTCCACATCTCGATGCGATTGGACTATCTCCAACGCCTCCCTCATGTCCATTCTCTGGTCGCGGAACAGGTTGAGCATCTCGTCTGTTTGAGATTGGCTCAACTTTGCTCTTTTGATCCATGAAACGAACTGCTCGGTGGACTCCCATTCTTTGTTCTCTACTACTGGCTCAGTGGGTTCATCTGCACCTTGGTCGTTTGGAGGGGGGTTGTTATGATCAGTTGGTGCAAAGTCTACGGGGTCATCTTGGTCTGCTTCGTCGAAGACAAGAGGGCGCCTTTCTACTGGAGGGGCTTGAGGATCAGGCAGCCCTGCCTCTCGCCTGCGCTTGAGGTTTTTAATAGCTCTCTTCAGTCGGCAGCTTGTGCGATAACTAATGTGGTGATCAAAGTTGGTAAAATGTCCGAATGTCTTGTTGCAGCCCTCACAAAGAAGATCCTGATTAGACACAGGGGTTTCCTTTGCAAGAGACATTTGCGTTGGCCATCTATAGCTTGTAGCGCTCTCGTTCCGACCGCTCTTTAAAAACCCATCATATCGGAACCCAAGAGTCACTGTCTGAAGCGCGCCCCTCCTCAGAAGACACAAGCTCTGAGAGATGGCACGGCCGCCCACCTACAACAGCGCCAGGACTCAGCTCAAGAGATTCTACGGCAGCTTCGGAGCTTGGTACGTTCCTTCACCCCCTCACTTGTCCCTTCACTCCGGACTCTTCTCGTATCTTGTGCTTGACTTTTGCCGCCATTCAAGAGCCTGGAGCGGCCGGAGATTGCATCCGGTCGAGATTTTGCGATCATCGACGGCCGCCATGCTCCTCGGCGGTCGGGGGTCGGCGGCGCCCCGCAGACCGTACATCGGAACTTTCATTCAGCGATGAGCGGTCTAGATGCCACACGTGTCAAAATACGAATTCAAAATCTCAAACTTCCCTCGTTTCGTTCCGTCGAAACTTTTGGGAACTTGCAATGAGTGCTACGCAGCCGGCCCGAAACGACGAAGACGAAACTATTTTTCAGGACCTGGACCTAGTCACTGAGAGGCAGCCTCATGCTGCAGCCTAAGTACCTGATCAAACTGAAGCGCATCAAGAGACCGCAGCTGCATTTCAAGAGCGGCGCACGTACGCTACTCCGCCTCCCTTTCAAGGTCCTTGCAACGCTCCTTTCCGCCAAAAACTTCCAACAGCCATCCGCCGCGACCAAGCTACATGACTCACAAGTATAGAAATGAAGGGGGGCAGGGCCCTCGGATTCAGAAAATGTTGGATGCCAAGGAAGCAGAGCGAGCCAAGCGAGTTGACGCCGCAGCCGCAGCGCAAAAGAGGGACTTGAAAGACATGCTCTTTGAACACCATGATCAGGTACCAGAGCCTCAACCGAAGAAAGCCAAGGGGGGCAAGGCGGGCAAGGGGGGCAAAACTGACGGTAAAACAAAGAAAGGTCCACATGGCCTAGGCAGCTTGAACCAGAGGCTTGAATTTGTGTAACGATTACGACTGGTTAAGCCTAACCTCGTTCTCGACAGGATTTCGTTGACCTGCGGGTTAGCGAAACGGCGGTGGTTACGTCTTAACGACGCACTGCGTGGCTGTCTGCAAGACGGCGTAATATCCCGGATGGATCGGCTTCTGTGAGCTGATGTCACCGTTCAGGATAAGTTGTGTTCGGCTTCGCCGTTCGATGCAGCCAAGCTTATCTGTGCTCTG